ATGCATAGACGGAGTGGGCTTTTTAAATTTAAAATTTTGATGTAAGAAAAAAATATTTTTCTGTTTCACTTTGTGTCTCTATGAGATGATGGATGTTCACTAAACTTACTGAGATCATCGTTTCATGATGTATGTCAGTCAGATCCTGATGCTGCACACCTGAAACTTACACAAGGCTGTATGTCCATCATATCTCAAAAAAACTGGAAGAAAAATAATTTTTAACTTTTGAGATCATTGTAAATCCACAGGTAGTTGTAAGAAATCATAGAAATCCTGTGTACCATTTACTCAGTTTTCCCCAGCAGTAACATGTTGCAAAACTATAGTACAAGTCACAAGCAGGAAATTGACGCCCATGCGATACAGTCGAGATACAGAGCATTTCCATCCCAAGGATCCCTGCCGGTGTCTTTTCATAACCACCCCCAGCTCCCTCGCCCCCATCCCAAGCGCCCATTCAAATGCCCAGCAACTACTAATCTAGTCTTCATTTCTGTAATTTTGTCATTTCAAGAATGTTATGTAAATGGAGTCATGCAGTAATTAACCTTTGGGGACTGGGATTTTTTCACTCAGCATAATTCCCTGGAGATTCGTCCAGGTAGATATCAATAGTTCGTCCCTTTTTAGTGCTGAGGAGGCTTCCATGGGATGCTGTTCCACAGTTTGTTTAGCTAGTCACCCGTTGAAGGACATCTGGGTGGTTTTCTGGTTTTGGCTGTTACGAACAGTCATGTGCAGGGTTTTGTGTGAACACAAGCTTGCATTTCTCCGGGATAAATGCCAAGGAGTGCACTTGCTGGGTTGCGTGGTAGTTGCTCGATGGGGCTTTGAAGGATGCATCTGGTATGGAGAGGCAGGTAGGGGTGGGGGCTTTGCTGCAGGTGGACACCAGTGGGAAGCACAGCCCGGGAGCTCACCCCTGATACCCTAGGTGAGTTGATTCATCTGTCTGTACACTGTTACTACTTACATCTGTTGTGTACTGATATATAAAGCGCCCGGTACACAGTAGGTGCTCAGTAGATAGAAGCTGTTCTTAACATGGGTTAAGAGAAGACCCACCAGGCCAGAGCAGGATCTGTGCCCCAGAGGTGATCTCAGGAGGCCTTTCCCTTGCCCCCTGTGGGCCCTGGGGCACCTCCTTCTTACCTTGGGCAGAGCTGTGCACCCAGTCGTCCCTCAAAGGCCGAGTTCCTGGCTTCTCCCTGAGAAGTAACTGGCCCCGTCCTCAGACTGGGCTCCGAGTCTCTGGACGGGCACTGGCATTCCCCAGTGAGCTTGGCCAGGCCCATGCCATGGATCAAAGGAATCCCAGGGAATTCCAGATTGTGCCAGGCTCTGATGGTCTGGATTTGCCTCACAGGGTCTGAGAATGTGCCCGGATCATTTCAAATGTTGCTACGATTTAGCTGGATTCCAGAAACGTGTGGAGCTCTTGCTGTAGTCAAGGCACCGACCTAGGTGCTGCAAAGGGTTCAAAAAAAATCATTCTCTTTCAGCAGATCAGCCCAGCCAACTCCAGCTCCTTTGGGAGCATCCTATGGCCGCATGATAAAGTCTGGCATTTGGAGCCTTTGGTCTGGGGTGACTCTGTCTTTCCAGCCCCTTGTCCTGCTGCTGCCCCCTCTCCACGTGCCCTGTGTGCCTGCCAGTAGTATGCTCACTGCCCCCCGCCTGCCCCCGCCTGTACAGGCCAGGCTGCCATCCTACGCTCACGCTTCCCCCTTCCCAGGTGCCTCTTCCCTTCATGTTGAAATCTTGCCTGTTTTCTTTTTAATCAGAAAGGCGTTATATGCACTGGATGAAATCCTCAAATAGCACGTGTCCGTGTGTAAGGCTATACACTCAAAGTGCCTTCTCCCACTCCAGGGCCGCGTGGTTATGGGACCATGCTGTTTTCATTTACAGTGTTATCTTAGAGGGTGCTTCGTATCTGTACCATTAAAACTGCCTCATTCACACTGCAGTGGAGGTGACATGGTATTTGTTTACATAGCTACACGGTGATTTCTGTTACCAGTCATCTGCTCATGGCCGTCTGGGTTGTCCCCATTCCTGGGCTCTTCCAGGCAGTGCTGCATGTCATTGGTCCCTGTGCAAAGGGGTCTGTTTATGACTCAGCCCCAGGGACCCCCTCCTCCATCTGCCTTCCATAGCTGTGGTACCTGTGTTCACAGTACTGTCTTTCCACAACTCCTGAAGACAGGGCTCGTGCAGGACCTTCCTCCTCCTTCCAGTGCCTGCCGTGTTTACTGACTGCCCAGTTTCCAGGAGCATATGGTGCTCTGGTATTCACCAGTCATGCTGCCTCTGTGCGACCTGGCCTTTTGTAGGGGCTCCAGTGGGAGCAGAGCCGCGAGAGCTGGGACACCTGCACCGCTTCCTCCATCCAGCTTCGTGCTTGGTACACAGCGGCTGCATGGGATGGGCTAACGTGTTTCCGTGGCGATAAGGCTTCTACAGCATCGTTCTTACTGGCCGCCTACGGTTTCACCAGAGGCATGGGCCATAATACAGCCAGCCCCCCCCCCCCCCCCTTTAAAAAAAAAAATTTATTTATTTTTGGCTACGTTGGGTCTTCGTTGCTGCACGCGGGCTTTCTCTAGTTGTTGCGAGCGGGGGCTACTCTTCGTTGTGGTGTGCGGGCTTCTCATTGCGGTGGCTTCTTGTTGCAGAGCACAGACTCTAGGCGCGCAAGCTTCAGTAGTTGTGGCTCGTGGGCTCTAGAGTGCAGGCTCAGTTGTAGCACACGGGCTTAGTTGCTCCGTGGAATGTGGGATCTTCCTGGACCAGGGCTCAAACCCTTGTCCCCTGCATTGGCAGGCGGATTTGTAACCACTCTGCCACCCAGGAAGCCCAGCTAGTCTCCTCTTGATGGAATTTAGCTTTGAAAAGTTTTGATGGAATTTCCCTTTTAAAAAAATTTGAGAGGACAGATGCTTGGGTGTCCATTGCTGAGAAAAGATCGGGACTCACAGGCTCCCCCATGAAACTAGAGGCAGTAGCTACTTGTTTATTGAGTTCTTCAAATGAGCTAGGGCTTCTCACCGAGCAAGCCAAGCTCTCTTTTCTTATGATACAGAGTCATCTTCTGAGGCAGGCACTGTTGTCCCTATTGTATGGAAAGGCAAACCAAGGCTCAGAGAGTAAGTAACTTGGCAAAGGTCACTCAGACGATACGTTTCAGCAGCTGGGATTCCAGCTCAGGTGTGCTTGGCTCAGGACCTGAGCTTGTAACCAGCGAACCCTCCTGCCTTGTTAGGGAAGAAGGGAATGGGGAGGGTGGGTCACCCCTGGGCCTGGGGTGATGGCTGGCGGCTCCAGAACTGAATCGAGGTTGCACCTAGAGAGAAGACGGCCTCCATCAGGCCTCATCTCCGTCTCTTGAAGGGAGAGTCCACGGCACCACTCCGGGCACTCCCCTGCTCACATGGCCCGCCCTGCTCCCAAGCCAAGCGTCCAGGGGGCTGGCTGGCATTCCTGGCTCGGCTTTCTGGCCAGACTCGGAGGAGTGATCTGAAATTCTTTGCTGGGGCAGATCATACTTGGTCAGGACATTTCACTTCTAGATTGATGTCGCTTTGGAACTCTGCATCAGGTCTCCCAGTGTGACCTGGGAGCCTGGAGACTCCACCGGCCCTCCCTCCTGAACAGTCAGTCCTTTGAAAATGTATTGATTTCCCTCCTTCCCTTCCCTGCTTTTGCACTTTGGATGAACCTTGTTTTCGAAGAACAGTAGAAGGTAATTTTCCTGTGCTCGCCAGCTGGCCCGTAATTGAGCAATTTCAATAACACCCACTGTAAAGTCTAATCGAAGTAAACAGGAAAATATGATTTACAATCTGGACGGCAAGTAAATACCAGGGTGCAATTAATTTTTACACAGAGCAGCAGATTCTAAAACATTCTCCTGCACTGACCAGTTTGATTTTAATTACAGATTAGGAGCTGCTTTTTATTTATTTATTTTTTTACTGTGGTTATCGTTACTTTTTACTTTTTGATGGAACCTGATGATCTTCAGGTTCCTTGGACCTCTGTGACTTCCTCTGAAGGTGTCACCACGGAGGGGTGGGATGGAAATAGGATCAGAGAAATTAATTTGTAAGGAGCGATTTTCCCAACCTGGACTGAAGGCTGCACTCTTTGGGCTTTTGCTTGGTGAGAGATGAGGGTGGGTCGGGGAGATGCTCCGGGCTGTGTAGAACGATGATGAGAGAGGGTCCCATCACTGCTGGGAGCTCAGAGGGGTGAGTGCAGGCCGGGACTTGGTTTGGCTCATTCTGAGGAAGGGGACGGAGGCGCCCCATGTTGCAAATGTGTCATTTCGGAATCGTGGTGCTTCCAAGGATGGGAAGTATGTGCCTTTAAATGGACCCTCCTAGTTCTTCCAGTGGTTTCCTTCAGACCTGGGCGGAGAACAGGAGCCACCTTGCCGGCTGCAGGGTCGGCCCATGTCTGACCTCAGCCGACCTTGGGCTGTCTGTAGGGCTAGCTCAGTGTAGGAGGTCACACGGCTTGAGCGCACTTCGGGGACAGCAGTCTGTGAGCAGCCCAGACCCCGAGATCTGTCTTAAAGGTGCCACAAGGCTGAGCTGGGTCACTGTTGTGCCCACCAGGTGTTGGCTTTAGGGACACCCTAAGGCTGGCCTGGGGGTGGGTGAGGACTCCGGGAAGGCCATTCCGGCCTTCGTGGCCCCCGCCAGTTTACCTCTCCTGCAGCGGAGAGGCGGTTCTATTCCCCAGCAGGGTCCCAGCGTGCAGGGGAGGGCGCGGCTCTCTCGGGGCCCTGGTCTGCCCCAGTCCTGAATCCCTTTGCGTTTCTTTTATCTTTCCAGGGAGTTGACCACACTTGGCCATTTCCTGGAAGAGCCCCACCCTGAGGGTGAGCAGCCGATGGGGAGCTGTTTCTGCTGACATCGTCATCCGGGGGGTGCCCAGGAGGCCGCCTCTGCCCAAGTCTGCCCACCCGAAGATGGCTGGTGCCCACCCTGGGCTGGCGCCCAGTGCCTGAGGTCCTTACCATGGTGATGATCCTAAGTCAAAGCCTCGACAAGCAGGGAGCTGACCCCGTAGCGTGCAGGACCTTCATCCCTGAGCTGGTAAGGACCTGGTGGCCTGGCTTCTCTGGTGACCCTTTTGAGGCCCGATATCCAGGTGGGGCTGTGGACTGAGGAAGAGGCCTTAGCAGATGTGCCCAGAGGGCCCGCGAGCAGAGCTCTGGGAGCCGTGGCAGGAGGGGCAGTGGAGCAGAGTCACCCAGAGCCCGGCTTCGCCCTCACAAGAAGGAAGTAGCCAGCCCAGATTTGAGTCCTCTGGCGAGCGGGGAGGGCAGGCCAGCACCCTGGTAAATAATACCAAGCGTGCTTCTGCCGCCCCTGCCGGGCTGAGCCCCACATTCCTTCTGGTCTCCACCCGGTCAGGGAGGTAGTTTCCAAAAAGCGGGGTGGTCAGTGCGAGTGAGAGCTGCCGCCTCAGCAGTCACCAGAGTGGGGGGCGGTGGAGAAAGAAGGCGTGGCCTGGCGGCCAAGGTGGTGGGCCTGGTGGCGGCCGCCCCCCCGAAAGGGTGGTCCTCGGACCAAGTGGCCCGGTGAGCCTGGCCAGAGAGGCAGACAGCCGGCCTTCTTAGGCCACGAACAAAACGGTCTCCTCACCCTCCTTCTATAGCCCTAATTCCTCGGAAGTGGGTGGGCTGCTCCCCTGCAGGGGGAGCTGAAAGCAGTCCCGCTCGGGCACAAACACTCTTGTGGGGGGTTTTGCACGTGGGTACGTCCCAGGGATTCTGCTGCTTCTGTGGTCAGGGATGGGGGCACTGTCCGGGGTCATGTCACCCAGCGCCCCTCCTGGTGCCCTTCACAGCCCCTCGTGAGACCCCACGCTAGCACCTAGTGGGCTTTCTCCCCCAGTCTTACCCTACCACCCAGGGTCGAGAGCAGGCAGGTGGGTCTTAGGTCCTCGTAAGAGCTTGTGAAAGCCACCAAGACCTGTGTCCACTCCTCAGGCCTTCACGGAGCACCTTGGGCTGAAGGAATTCCGTAAGACAAGTAGGGTCTTTGCCCATCACTCCTTCCCTTCCAATTTGTGTTGAATATATATCTGTCAGTAGATTCCCTCTCATCATCCCCACTGCTGCTGCTCTGGTCCTTCCTGTGTACTCTCTCATCTGGATTCTTTTGGGAACTGGCCCCTGCTCTGGCTCCTGTAGCCTGTTTGCATTACCCAGCAGCCAGAGGGAATGCAAGTCAGACCGTCCCACCTCTGCTCAGAGCCTTCCACAGGCTTCCCGTCTCAGGCTGAGCAAACGCCAGACTCCTGCTGGGATGTATGAGGTCCGGTGTACTCTGGCCCCCGTGACTGCTGTGCTCTCTCTCCGCTGCTGTCCGCCACTGACTCTGTTCAAGCCACGCCGGCCTCCCTGCTCTACATGCCTCAGGGCTTGTGCACTTCTTCCCTGGCCTGGAACGCTCCCCGTTAGCAGGACTCTCTCCCTCCCTCCTTTTCTTTGGCCACTTGGCCTAAAATCTAATTCCACTACCTCCCCTGCCTCCTTACCTCCATGTACTGCTTGTCCCCTTTTCCCTGTCCTTTTCTTTCCAAGGCGCTTAACCACTTTTCTAACATCTTGATCTCGTTCACTGAATGACTCCTGCCCCAGAGTGTGAGCTTCACAAGGCAAAGGACCTTTGTCACTCTTGCTCCTTGCCGAATACCCAGTGCCTGACCCTGGGACCTAGTGCGTGGCAGGTGTTCAGGGGATATTTTGAAGCGAGTGAATGCGGGTCCCTGTAGCCCAGCTTCTCAGCTCATCATCGTTCAGTCCCTTCTCTGCTGCTCAAGTTCACGGCTGAGGGGGTGCAGGTATGAGTTGCTCTGTTTTCTGTGGTTGGTGGGTGTTTTCCCGCTGAAATTAAAGCACTCGTGTAGAGTAGCTCTGACCAAAAAGCAACGGCTCTCAGGGTGAGGGCCTCCTGGAGGGCCCAAGGGAGGCCCCCTCTGGCTCCAGCTGTGCTGTTTGCCTCTGTTGCCACCGCTGAACTTGGTTCCATCTGGGGGTGGGCCTGCCTGGGCTTGGCCGCGGAGCTGGGTCCAGGGCCCGTGGGCCCGTGGTCAGCTGAGCCGGTCTTCAAAGAGACAGGGCCTGAGCCCTCGCCAGGAGGAGTGCGGCCTCCCAGCCCCAGCCAAGGAAGGAAAACTCATCTTCTCAGAAAAAAAAAAAAAAGGAGAGAAAGCCAAGGGAAGCAAATGGCCATTGAAGGGGGCTCGGTGGCTTCACAGGTCGGTGTCTGGCCTTTCTTCTCACACCCCTCCCCTTCTTGGAAAGTCATCGCCTTCTGTGTTCCTTCTCTTCTTGCCTCCCCTGGACTCCCGGATGGGCAGCCCAGCTATGGGCAGCAGCCACCTTCGGAGAGCGGCCTTCTCCTGTGTCAGTTGGTGGGTGCATCACAGGTTGTCAGCACGTTACAGGTCTGGCCTGGTTCTGCTCTCACGGTGCAGGTGGAAGCACAATGAAGGCAAGCAGGAGGATGGGAGCGTAGTCTGTGTGGGGCCTGCGGAGTTGCCGTCACCCCTGCCTCTCCTGGAGCCTCCCCCAACCTGCTGAGGGGTGGGGACTCGTCCATGTCTACCTGCTATACAGGCAGGAAACAGAGAGCCCAGGGGACGGAGGGCCCAGGTCACACAGCTGGCGAGCAGGGTGCCAGGACGCAGGCTTCAAGTCCAGGCCCTGTTCACCCACCAAGGCCCTCACGCCCGCCCCTACCCGGCTCCTGAGGCTGTGGTCCTGGAATCCGCTAGGCCTTGGGGAGAGGCACGGCTGTAAACAACCAAAAAAAGACCCTAAATAAGACCAGCCTAGTGATGACATCCACAGAATGTAAGATAAACTGATTAGAATTTGCTCTGAACAGCCAGCAAGTTTGAGAGGAAGATGGGGGTTTTGCTTCAGCTTCCTAACCGGGTAACATCATCCTCATGTAAATACCATCAAGATAATAACAGGAAAGATGGAAAAGCTTTTCTCTTTTGTTTTCTAATCAGACTAAGACGATAACAGAAGTTGGGGGTTCAGATTAAAAAAGAAATCATGAATCACCACAGGCCGCTTTGGAATTAGGGAAGTGAGAGGCCCCGCAGTGAGGACAGAGCCTAAAACTGCAGGTGAAGGTCCCCTGGGGGCTTGGAAACACTGGGAGAGGAGAGGCTTGGGCCCCCCTGGGCCCTGGCCGCCCCTCCCTGCCTGCTGAAGGTCCCCGTCATGGTTCTCTTGTTCTCCTTTCCCTAAAAGCTAAATGCTGGTGACAACGTGACTGCCCCTACTCCCGAGAGAGGTGGGCAGACAGAAAGGGGACTGACAAGCACTCACTATGCCTTCCCCGGGGGGACGGGGGTGGGGTGGGGGAGTGCAGTGACTCGGTTCCCCTTTCCCCCACTCCGAGCCGCCGCCTTCCCTTCCCCTGTGAGCAGCTCTTCCTCTGAGTGTGCTAACATTAGCTGCTGCCCCTGGAAGGCCGCCCGGACATCTGACCTCGGGGCTGCGTTCCCCCAGCTCTGTCCCGCCCGCCCACGCTCCGGCCAAGGGCCTGTTCTCCCTCCTCCCCGGCCAGGCCCAGCCTCCTCTCCCCGGTGAGCCTCCCAGCCTCTCTCAAGTCTGGAGACAAGCGGGCGCTGGGGTGCACCGCTCCCGGGAGGGCGGGGGGCGGAGGCCGGAGCGAGGCTCCAGGCTGCCTCACTTTGCTCAGCCTCAAGGTATTTCCGGCCACAACAGACACCCGTTTTGGGAGCAGGTCCTTCCTTCCACGCTTGTCAGATTAGGACGCCGAGGCTAAGTGACTTGCCCGGCAGAAGAGTTCAGTGACTACGTCCGGCCTGGCACCCAGCTGCCTGGGCACCCAGGGTCTTCATCTTCCCGCGCACCCGGATTCGGCACTGGGCCCGACGGCCCCGGCCAGGGTCCCTGGCCGGGATCCAGAAGCGCACAGAGCCCGAGGCAGTTCCCGGCCCCTCCCCCCACCCCCGCATCCCGGGCGAGCAGGGGCACCAGGGCCCACCCTGCCGTGGCTAACCCTGCAGCCTGGGGAGCCGGGCTGCCTGCCCTGTCTCCATCAGCGCCTTCAAGGGCCTCCACCTAAGGGCGCCTCTCCCTCCTCAGCTTCTCTTCCTCCTCGGGCCTGGCTCTGCCTCCGGCGTCCTACTGCCAAGGTCTCACCCTATTCCCTTCCAGAGGCTGGGGTGCCCCACTTGTTCCCCTCAAGTGCGTGAGCGTGGGCCTGTTCTGCGTGGCCCTGTGGTTCCCTGTGGCACCACATCAGGAGAAGGAAAAGTGATGTGACTGCTTTAGTCAGTAGTCTTTGGAAGAAAGTTATGAAGAAGCATGATTGTGGCCAGAGATGAGCTCGGCTGTTTTCTGTCTGAGCTAGTTCCTCATTAAATAATGACCTGAACTGTGTCTTTATTTAAGTCAGGGTTTCTTGCGTTACTTAGTCAGACAGATGGCCCCTGGAGCCTCAATTTGATTTCCAGCTTTTGCCTTTCCTATGGAAGATCTGATTCCAAAACGTTCTCTGGTGATCCAAGGAGTCTCCCAGACACCAAGCTCTGCCCTGGGGGAGGCTCAGGAACAGAGGCTCTGGAGTAGGAGAAATACCCCGGGGAGCCGAGCGTATTGCTCTGTTGCCCTGCAGACCCCAGCCAGGGCTTGGGCGTGTGCTGGTGTGCGAATGCTGAGTGTCTTGTGAAACCTCAGATGGTGAGAGTTTCTCCCGAGGCCTGTTGGCCTCACCACATCGTCCACGTAGTGATTGGCTCATCCTTCCCACTGGGAGTGCAGAGGGCTCAAAGGGTCAGGGAGGCTGGCTGCAGAATGGCACAAACCAGTGGGGATAGAGCAGCCCTGGACAACTTGGTGCCCAGTGGGAACCTCGCTGTTGGGCCCAGGGAAACTGGCCAGCAGTCAGAGTGTGTGCCTGGGGCCTAACACCCTGGGAAGCTGTTGACTACGTGATGTTCTGGCCTGCCCACGGCCAGCCCGGCTCATGGACGGGACTCAGAAAGCAAGACGGGGGCCTGATCCCATCTTTTTTTTTTTTTTTTTTTTCTTTACCCCAACAGGAGGCAGAAAGCCCCAGGGGGAAGTAGTTAGCTCATGACTATTTCAGGCCTTATGTTTGACCCTAAAATTGCTGCTGTCCTATCAGTCAGCATTTCTCCATAATTATTTTGATGGAATTTGTCTACACACACAGACCAGTGTGAATTGAGCGTCATGAAGCGGATGAAGGAAAAGAAAGAGGAAAAAGCTGCATTTCAGGCGGGGTGGGAGGGTGGGGGGAACTACACTGCACTATACATAGTTTGGCAGGTTTTCTTACGTCTTTTTAGTTAAGCAGGTTTAACTTGTAAATTATATTTCCTCCTGGCACTAGAAGCCTCTGTGCAGACATCACTTTGAGCAGTTGCATGGTATTCCTTCAAGTAGCTGAGCCACGGCCTACTTCACCGTTAGCCTCGTGAAGCCAGGCATGGAATTGGCCAGGGTTCCTCAGTTGTAAGCAGCTGAGACTGTCTGCCACTGATTTGCACCAGAAGAGAATTCCCTGGAGCGATTGAGAGAAGTATGGGAGAGGAGTTGGTGAATGAAGCCCCAGAAAGCCCCAGCTTTTGGCCGGGATGGGGGGGGAGGCCGCCAGGGAGGCCACGTGATGGGAACCAGCCACAGAGCGAAAACCCTGAGGCGGCAGCGAGCTGGGCCGGTCCCGAGCTGCGTGAGTGAGGCCGGGATGGACGGAGGTTTGGCTCTGGTGGGCTGCGGAGGGGTGGGGCGCAGCCGGGTTTCTTCCCGGTTGCCGTGGGGAGTGGTTGGAGGGTTGTGAGCAGAGCAGCCACGTGGCCTGGTCCCTGTGGGTCTGTGTGGAGGATGGAGGATGGAGGACGGGCCGGGGCGCAGGGTGGGGACCAGGTCGGGGGTTCGTTTGGTCCCTCGGCGGAGGCTCGAGCCGGGCGGCGTGGGGCGTGAGAAGCGGTCGTTCCGAGCGTGTGTTCTCCAGCCTGGCGAGCGCGTCTGCGGCAAACACGGACAGGTCCTCGCTAAGTGAATGAATGAGTGAGTGAGTGAGGGCGGGGGAGCCCTGCGTGCTGGCCCGGTGGCTCCTGTCCCTGGGCACAGACCCTCCCAGCATCTCTGGCGCCCACTCACCGGCCCCCATTCCTGGGAGGGCTCCCAGCTGCCCCTCTGTCTGGAGCACGGCGGCTTGGGGGGGAGGAGGGGCTGGTGAGCAGTGCCCCCCTGACCATCAGCAGTCAGTTTGCTTCCCGCCGTGTCTGTAAACCCAGGCCTTCCTCGGTGGCCCCAGTGCAGCGACACGCGGCCCCTGTGCCTCGCGCCCTCCTGCTTGCCCTGGCCCGGTCCTGGTTTGGGCGTCTGTGGGCTCCCAGCCTGGGTGGCTGCCCTCGCCACCAGGCGTGGCGGTGGGGTGGGGAGGGGTGGGGTCTGTGCTTCCCGGGGGGTGTCTGCTTTGTGCTGGGGCTCCTGCAGCGTCGGGGCCGCTTCCCTCGAACAGCCGAGCCTGTGGCACCAGCCAGGCCCAGCTTCTCTCTCTCCGAACCTTCTTTGGGCCGTGGGGCCTGTCTGGCTTCTGCAGGTGGCGCTGCCCAGAGGCAGGGCTCTGAGTGTCTGTCACCTGCTGTCCCTTCAGTGACTTTGGTGTGAGCTGGGAGGGAGGCAGAGGCAGCCGTCTGTAACGTTTTCCAGATATTTCCCCGGGTGGACTCCAGGAGGGGGACCTATCCTGAACACATAAGGATTGTTTTAAACCCAGGATGGGGGACTGGAGGAGGGCGGCCCTGCCCACCTTACCCCCCGGCCCGTTAAGTTCCTTCTGGTCCTTTAGAAGCAGCTCTGTTTGCCCCCCCGGAAGCCAGCCCTGACCTCCAGCACCCCAGCACCCACGGCCTGGCCCATCTCCCTCCAGTCCCACTCTCTGTAGCTCAGGGGTTTGTGTGACTGTGGCATCTGTGACGTGTGAGCTTCCTTAGGGCTGAGGTGGGCGTCTTTCACCTCCGTGTTCCAGACTGGTCAGGACGGACCCTTGATAACCTGATGGATGAGCACATTGCTGACCGAGGGCAAAGGTCCCTGACTCGGGCAGCTGAGGACAGGGGTGGGGCAGCTGCTGCCAGACACTGGCTACCCTCTTATCTGGGTGGGCCGGGTGTTCCTGGTCAGCACCCTGTCCTCCTTCCAGGCCTGAAAGAGCCAGGGCCTGGCTCTCTGCCCACTTCTTGGACTGGTAGCCTTGCGCGTCCCTGTCACTTGGGGCTCCTCTCAGAGGCTAGAGCCCTCTGTGACCGCTGACCCCTCTGGAGCTGAGAGCTTCTTTCACCATCGCACGCTCAACCCCAGCACAGCCTGCACGTAACGAATTACCGGTACATATTTGCTGAATGAGTGGAGGGAGGAAGGAAGGAAGGCAGGAATGAGTGAGACCCTTCTTCCCGGGGCCCCGACGGGCATAGATGGTGTCCTGCTCATCAGAGGTCAGAACAGGCCTCCTGACCTGGGCCTCGGCCAGCACAAGGAACCCCTGGAATGGTCCACGCTCGGGTTACTGTGTAGCCGTGGGGCAAGTGCCTGGGCTTGGGGTTCTTCTAGGCCTCAGTGGCTTTTCAGCCAGTGATCATAGTGTTCGGCTGAGGCTAGGTGTGGGGCTAGAGAGCAGATGTGCAGTGTTCACGGTAGACAGGGACACCGCTGTGGAAATGCGGTGCCGAGGAGTCCAAAGCCGTAGCTGCGTGTTGAGGCCAAACATAACCTTTGAGTTTCTGTTTCAGTTCGTCAGGATGCCTCGGGGGGCCTCCTGGCTGCCCAGCAGCCTGCAGAGCCAGGGCCACACTCCTGAGCTTTACCCGTTGCTTCTTCACAGAGACGGAAGAGGTGTCCTCCTTGTGTCTCGAAGGGAGGGCTCTGGAGGTGGCCCTTCACTCAAGGTTCTTCCTGTCAACCATGGACAGGAAGAGGTCCCCTGTCCTCCTAGCCTGGGTTGTGGGGAGGCCCGTCTCCAGCTCAGCTGGGTGAACCGTTCACATCACAGCTCCTTCTGCACCCTCCTCCCTATCACTCACATGGAAAAATCCCTAGTGTCAGAAGTCACGGGTCTCTCTTGTGTGTTTTTAAAGCCCATTAACTTGATGGACTCCATAACTCACCGAAGGCTCCGGACAGAGAGCCCAGACCTAATTACGGGCAGATGTCTCTTTTAATGCTTTTTTTTCTCCTTTCCCTAATCTGACGTTACCCCTTTGATTGTGCCTTTAGCGAGGGATCAGTGCAGGGTCATGTGCAAACGTGCTTCTTATGACTTGAAGAGTGATAGCTTTTCTGGTTGTTTTCAGCACACGCCAAAGAAGATGAGTCAAGGACCGACACTTTTCTCTTGTGGAATTATGGGTGAGTAACCAAGGTGGCTGTGAACGGTCAGTCCTTCTCTAGCCCTTCCACCAGGGCCTGAGTGCTCCAGGTGAGACGCTAAAAGCACTTGCGGGACACAGGCACAAGGAGCAGCCGTGGGGACTCTCTTCTGTGTGTTTGAACTGTTCCGGTCTCAGCTGTGCTCGAGTGGTGCAGGGGCTGCTGCGGCTGACTGAGGGGCCGGGCGCTGGTGTGTGGTTTACGAATCTAATCTCCAACAGTGATACTGAGAGTTTGTCTGATTATTAAAGTAATCATGTTCATTTTATTTTAATTCAGAAAATGCACCATAGTGTAACGTATAAAATAAAAATCTCTCACAGCCCCAATACACAGTTACAACTACTGTTAATATTTTGGTGTAGTTTATGTCCATTGCATTTTTTACATAGCCAAGTCCATGACGAACATACGATTGTACAAAATTATTTACAAAATGTTTTTTCCGCTTTTTTCGCTTAGTAATAATTACCACCGTCTCCCCGCAGCGCTACAATTGCCCATTCCATGCATTTTAATGAGGCTATGGTACTGCATTGTATGGATGATTCAAAATGTATTTAACGATGTAACTGTTTCTTGGTAGTTGGGTAGAAGGACCGTTCTGTTTTCTGTTTAACAGTGGCTCAGTGTCTGAATCTCGCTCTGCCGTTTGGATTGTTCCTTAGGATCGTTCCCAGGTATGGAGCAGAGTGGCTGGAGAGCGGGAACATTTTCATTTTTAAGGCTCTTGCTTCATATTTCTGACATGCTTTCCAGAAAGGTTGCCTCGGTACCTTGTTCCCACGCGAGTGTTAATTACCGTTTGTATAAGGGGGCCAAAAAGAGGACTGTATTGACTGTATTGATTTCTCTCTGCTCCGGTTGATCGGGCAGTCTCTCCTTGCGCGCTCTCCCCTGGGCTCCTGCCCCCTGCGGAGACACCTCGCCAGATGAGTTTCTGTAAACCAGGCTTCCACGATGGGTCCTCTCTTTGGGGTTTCAAGTTTGTCTCCGCAGGACTGTGTAAAGTCTCCGTTGCCTTTTGTCTCGGCCCTTTGCCTCTGGGCACGGCGGTTTCTTCTTTAGACTCAGTTCCCATAGGTGGGTGATGGGGGCGGTGCTGGGGGTGTCACAGTGAGCATGGTGCTGTGCCACGCGCCTCACATGCAGGACCTCCTGGACTCTGCAGCTGCTTCGGGGGGCGGGCAGGGGCGCCCACTCACATCTGGGGAAACTGAGGCCTCATGAGGTGGGTAGAGTTGGACCCGGAGTGGGTGAGGATTGTTTTCTTCTCACTCACGAGCCACAGCTCTGTGGGAGAGCCCTGGGCCGCCCACTTGGTGCTGCCGCCCAGAGGAAGTGGAAACAGGGAGCTCACCTGGCCTTGGTTTACCCGTGTGACACACTTCTGAGGCCTGTCCCCACATGGGGCTTGACTGAACACCTCGGTGGTGGTTAACGGCTTTCGACAAACCCTCAGCGACCCATCCACGTGGTCCAGAAGCCTGCCTCATTGCCTGCTTCCTGGTCAGACTCACAGTTGAGCTGTGGCTGGGCTGCCTTCCTCTGTCGTGTCCAGGAAGGAGAGAGGGGCTCCTGGGCACGCCAACCCCTCAGCCCAGCCAGGACGTCAGCTCTGAATTGGGCCAGACTAGTGACCTGGACTGTGGAGATGTTGGTCTTTATTTCAAGGCCGTGTTGTGCGTCGGGCTTCCTTGGCCTTTGCTCCAAGTGCGTCAGAATAAGTTGGAGCTCCTGTGGGTTCGTGATGGTGGTGTTGGCACTCACATAGTCACTCTGAACTATTTACCTTTTCTAAGCCTCAGTTTCCTCATCTGTAAAATGGCTGTTAGGACAGCACTTGCCTCGTGGGTGCGCCTCGAGCACTCTGAGACGTTTGTAAGGAGGTTGGCACAGCGTGAGCTCCATACACAATAGGTGGAGAAGGCTGAGGCCTAAAGTGAGAATCCTGTTCCTGCAGGGGGCCTCCATGCCCAAAGGGACCGCCTTGGTCTCCTTGGGGAGGGGGTGTGAGTGAGAGTCGCCCTTGCGGGGGAAGATGCTCAGGCCCAGGGACCAAGGCAGAGGCGTGTGGGGAGAGGCCTTTTCCCAGATTCCCAGCAGAGCTGGTCTGAGCCCGCAGAGCCCAGAGGCCTGCTTTTCGCTGGCGGGCGGGGCGGGGGGGGGGCCCGTCTCTGACCGGGGTTTCCAGGATGGCCTGCGCCGCTGCTCCTCCGGGCTCTTGCTGCCGGGTGGCTCTTCAGGAAGGGCTTTGCAGTGCTCCCCTCGCCCTCGGGCTCTTCCCTTCCGTGGGGTCTGTCCCCCTCCTGCTCTGCTGGCTGGCACTAGGGCACTGCCAGGCAGTGGAGGGGCAGTGGGGCAGCCACTCTGTGGGGTCTGCGCAGTTATCCCCACCCTCTCCTCGGTTTCTCTCTCTCCCACATGCTCATCTTTCTGTTCTCAGCCCCTTCTTGGTTCGGGAGACCCCGACCCACCTGACAGCACGCACTACCAGGGCTTTTAGAAAAGTTCACCACAGTTCGTTTCAGTGGCTTGTTCTGGTAGGTATTTATTGAATACCTACTCTGTGTCAGGCGCTTGGGGCGGGGATAGAGCGAATCAGCCCCTGCCCTCAAGGGGGTTTCTATCTGGCGGAGGAGGAAGGCCAGGGAGCAGTGGATTCCCATGGATTAGGCCGACTTCCACGATTCGCGCCTGAAGCGGGCCCTCGGCACTGTAGGCGGGTAGCGCGTCTGCCTGAGCCTCACTTTCCTCGTTGGGTACGTGGCAGGTGTTTGTGGGATTTAAAGAGACAGTGGCACCCAGGAGGTGCCGGCTCAGCCCCTCCCACCTCCATCCCTTTCCTGCACTTGCTGAGGCGGGAAAGTCAGCGGTCCAAGGCCTTCCAGGCTGTGTGCTCGTGGAGGCTCCGGTGGCTGCTCCAGCCCAGTGAACCTGGGACTCGAGGTGTGGCCTCGCCCTGTGACCTGAGTAGCAGTGAGACTTCATCCTAGCTGTGCCTGCTTTTCCGTAGCAGGGAAGAGGACACCCAGTGGGTCGAGCCAGACTTTTCCAGAGGGTTTTGGGCCCTTCCTGGGATGGTCAATGCTCAGCAAAGATAACACATCATAGCACTGGGACTTCCCTGGTGGCGCAGTAGTTAAGAATCCGCCGGCCAATGCAGGGGACATGGGTTCGAGCCCTGGTCGGGGAAGATCCCACATGCCACGGAGCAACTGAGCCCGTGCCCCACAACTACTGAGCCTGCACTCTAGAGCCTGCGAGCCACAACTACTGAGCCCATATGCCACAACTACTGAGCCTGCGCGCCACAACTGCTGAGCCCACGCACCACAACTGCCAAAGCCTGTGCACTCAAGGGCCCACGTGTGGCAACTACTGTGCCCGTGAACCACAGCTACTGAGTCCACGCGCCTAGAGCCCATGCTCTGCAACAAGAGAAGCCACTGCAATGAGAAGCCCGCGTACCACAGAGGAGAGTAGCCCCTGCTTGCTGTAACTAGAGAAAGCCTGTGAACAGCAATGAAGACCCAATGCAGCCAAAAAAAAAAAAAAATCATAGTATTATAATCACCAAACCCCCCTGCCTGTCTCCTGAAGAAAAAGGACTCACGTTCTGGCCCTGATCAGTGGAATTCTCCTGTAAGAGCTGGGGACAGCTTGGCCCTGTGACTCGGGGCATTTCCCTCCTAAGCCCCCATGCGAGGGTCCTAGCTGGACACCAGGATGACTTAGAGTTTCATAAATGTTCTTAAGAAAAACCAGGCAAGTGTATTCGGGTAGGGAGTGCCTGTTTGCTTCCTCTTAAAAAACCACCCTTGCAAGTAGCTCAGCCTCCTCTGCACCCACTGAGATAAAATGCTTTACTAATATAATCGGCCCTCACAGCAATGTTTTGTTTTGAAGTACTTCATGCTCAGTTACTGTGAGCTGGATTACAGGCCCCTCCCCAACTTTGTCCGCCCCGCCCCCGCCCCTTGCCCCAAGTTTGGGGACTTCATACAAAGAAGTGGTTTTGTTCTTTTCCAAAGTGGGGCTGTGGGGGGACAGAGGCAGTGTGACGTGTGGATGAGAGAAGCAGGGCAGAGTGGAGCCAGGCCACCGGCAGGCCGGGGCTGGGTGCCCATCATCAGGCTGCCCGCCTAGCCTGGTTACCTCAGGGCCCCTTCTAGCAGAGACGGTGCTGTGCCTCTTGGTTTCTTTTCTCGCCTCCCAGACCATCCTCAGCACACCTGTGCTGAACTGGAATTTCCTCTGCAACCAGCTTCTCTGGGGAAGAGCCATGTCTGCCCGGTTATTGCGTTCTTGACACAGGAAACCTTGGTCAGGTGGCAGTTTCGTGGGTGTGGCCCGCCCACTGGTTAGCTGGCCTGAGCGGCGAGCCAGCCCCCATTCCTGGCCGTGATTTCTAGTGGGTGTGGACAGGGCCCTGGCTGCTCCCGAGAGAACCTTTCAGTGCTGGGGAAGGCGGGGGCTGTCCGGGCAGCCTCAGCGCGCGGCTCCCTCCCTCCGGCTCCTCCAGCGTTTGCCGTGGGAGATGCTTCTTCACGCTAACCCAGGGTCACCCGTGTACTAGTTGAATCTCTTTTGGTGAAACAGGGCAAGTGGCCGGGGGGGAGGTGAGAGGGGTCTCCACTCACCACCCTCGCCTTGGCTAATTGCACCCCTTGAATGAGTTCCGTGTTGCAGGGACACTGGACACTACACATTCCATTTTCCTCCTCGCTCAGGCCAGGAGAAGACCGGAAATCAAATAACGTGAGAAAGTGCATGAGACACCAATTATCCGAAAGGCCACTGGGAAAAGTTGTGTAAATACAAGTCAGTGGACAGAAAACAAAACAATTCAGATGCTAAAAAAAAAAAAAAAGAAAATTGGGCGGAAACCCGTAATTACTTTAGGAGTTATGGTAATAAATTATTTATTAATGTAAATTACTTCACAGGCAAAGAACATAGAGGAAACTTGAGCAGAA